GGGATTCCGGGGTTATCGTATGCTGTAAAATATCAGCCGGGAAAAAACGCCGCTCCAAATGCATTTGGAGTTGGAAAGTAGAATAATATTTTCCGTCCCCTTCACCACTTTGGCTGCGAACCGTGTGCACCTCTTTTTTACGTTCCCAGGCACACGAGAGGCAATAGGTTAAACGCACAGACTGTTAGCAGGAATGCAATAGGAGGATGATGGAAAGAGACACCAGAGAGCAGAGAATTGATTACCTGGGTCACGTGGACCTCGGGGTAAATAAAATGACGCACTACATGGAGTACGAGCTGCGTATTACGTCATGAGTAAAATAAGAGACTCATAAGGAGGCAGTACAGTGACAGATAGCTTTGTTAATCATATCGGCTGGTTGGCACGGTGTCATCCCTTCATCTTTATTTTTTTCCCCTATGCGTGTTTGTTGAAATCGTGGCCAACTAAGTATTCGATGCGGATCCCAACGCGATGGAGTTGCTAGGTTTTTTTGAACTGCATTTTTATCCCTCCTCTCTTTCTGCCACGGCCGTGTCTTTGTGCTCGTTTGACGAGAGGGCGGAAAAAATTCGTCTAAAAAAGGTCGGATCTCCGTGTTGTGCACATGTTTTGCCCTTTAGCAAATTCAACTCTGACATCGGATTTTATTTCGATCGCAGCGTTGGATGCACGAGTTAAGAGTCGAATTTTGCATTTCACCCGCTACTTCCATTAGTATAATATTGCTCGCGGTATATCATCGAGATTTCAGCAATTTCCACGAGTAACGTATTTACTCCCTCGTGCAGGTCGAAAATCGCTCGATCCAATAAAAATTATACCACCCTCTCAACGACTTCCACATGTACCATACCACGGGTTCGCGTTGTACTCCTCCATTCGCTTCTTGTTGCTTTCATCTCCCCCTTCTCTCGCTAGATCCTACTTGAAACTCGATTCAGTGCACCGGTAGGGGGTGGCCGTGCTTTTTTCCTCTGCTCCACGTTGTGTTTTCCTCTGGAGTTCAGGGTTTAATTGCAGTCCCCTCTTTTTCATCCCCCCTTTTTTTCTCTCGACGGCTCAGATGGCGGTGCTATTTTTAACGGCTTACCACGTAGAGCTACAAATACCTACAGTTATCGTGGAGAACGATAATCATACTCTGTACTGTTTCCACTGCAATCAGGTCCTCGTTAAAGCTGCACTGCTTGTACCCACATTGTGACGTTGCATTGGTTGTCAATTAAGCCGAATACCTCAAGATTCTATCGGTGCCCCAGTAGTCACTAGAGTGAAAAATCTATCAACACTGTAGTGCGCCAGTTGCTCTCGTATTAAGAAAGAGAAATCCCGTAGTCATCTTCGAAGAAAGTTTTTGCGTAAAAGAGAGCCAAAAAACAAAATGAGAAAAATATCACGGGTGGGTAAAGGAGCGAGGCAAATGAAAAAGCGAAAAAATGTTGACCCAGCCCGAATCGTCCTCCCCTTGGTTATTCTTTTTCGCTTGTTTTAATCCCCCTCGTCCTTTAACTCGGCTAAATTTTTTTCTTTTTGTACGAACGGGAATTCTTAACGAGCCCCAAATTAAGGACAGCAATTACGGATAATGGCCCCCGCTGCTGCTGCGTTCTTATGCCCTGCGGCTCGAAATGATAGAGACATCCGGAGGAAAAAGAAGGGAGTTAACGCGGAAGAAGACGAGAAAGAGGAGGACAGCTAGAAATGGCACGAGGAGGTTATGACTGTAGTACGCAAGGGGGAAAAGGGGATGAAGGAGAGGGAGCCAAGGTGGCCAAGAAATACTGCATATTGAAGGTATACATGTATACCCTTGTGCGAAAAATTTAGTTATTGAATAAAGTTTACGCGCCTACTTTTATCTTTCTTGCTTCCCGGGGTTTTACTACGGGGATAACTGTTTTATGCGTGGCCTTGGAGTGATTTACGTTTGTGGATTTTTTTTTTTTTTTTATTTCGTACACCTACTCGCGCTTTTCTGTTTTCTTGGACTGCTGTTGACGCGAGGTTCTAATTTTTACTCGAGATAAATAACCCTCGGTTTTTCCATTTTTACAAATAAAAGTCCCACTCACCTGCTGTCTTTTGAATTCAAAAGAATATGGTAAAACGAAAAATGAAGGCCGTAATGACGAAAGAGTACCCGGAAAGTAACTAAAAAGGTATACTCTGTTGTGCACAAAAAAAAAAAAAAAAAAAAAAAAAAAAAAAAAAAAAAAAAAAAAAAGTAAGTGCAGCAACGTACGACACAAAGAAAACTCAAAAGTATAGTCCCAAAGAAATAACGCAAGACGAGAAAAAAGTGAAAAAAACTACACGTGTGCTCGCAAGAGAAAGAGCTCCCGAGCGCGTAGTGAAAAGGTTTGAGGTTCCCGGTCATTAGTCTGGGGGTCGCCCCCTATTTCGGCAATTGCGACGACAACAAGGAAGTTCTTGGGGAATACGGGCTTGCCGTCGCCTCCTTCGTCTTCCTTTCTTTTTGGACATTAAGCCGTTCCAGGCCACGTAATTTTATCCCCCTCCCCCTGCCCCACCTGACTTGCTCCAGAGCGACGGAATAAACAGGGGCGGGCCCGACTCTGAATCTTCAGTGGAGCACTTCCACCCCCAATTTTCTCACGTTCCATCGTTAACTACACTTGCCTCTGTTTACCCACGAAACTCGTTTCCTCGCTCGCGTTGAGTCATTTTTCGCGGTTCGCTCGCCCCCGTTCCGCCTATGAAATTTCCTCCGGCTCTTTTCTTCCTGACACCGCTGGAATTTCTTACGTGTGCTTTTTATCGTTCCATCCCCTCTGCGCTGCACCCCTTTTCTCTTTTTTGCAGGATTTTCTTATTCCAGCTCCATGATGCGCTCGAGCGAACGGGAGAGCATAATGAGCAGCCGTGGGCTTTTTTCGTCCTCCCAAAGGACATTTCGAACGGGGCAGGGTGCCACGGAGGCGTGGAGTATTTATTAGCCGCGTAAAGAGTTATCTGCAGAGAAAGGGGTGGAACGTTTTGGGGAGATTTTTAACTGTCAGTAATTAGGGAAACGAGGAAGAGCAGTGAGTATACAGTGAACAATTGATTCTTGGGAAATGAAATGCCACATCGAGCCGATGAATTATTGGTCACGGATAATAGAGGTATACGTAGAATAAAATCCAGTTTCGCTCTCGCATATATTGTTGAATTATGAAAATACGTGAAAATTCATGGTACATGTATAATTTCTTATTTCGCGTTTCAGCAGTCGAGTTTTTAATTCAATACTCGACGCTATTATAATATTTGAATAAACATGGTCGAGTGGGTCGTGATGAAATTATTCCGACCAGTGTACGGCCGAACAAAGAGATGCTATTCGAGATCAAAATGCGAGATGAAAGTAAAAAATTTTATGCGCCACGAACGAAAAGCTGATTGAAATAAAGTACCTGCATTGAAATTGAATCTGATCGAATAATAATTGCACAAAATTAAATGGTATGAAAATGGCACGAAGGGCGAAAAAGAGCATTCCAAAAAAGTTTAGTTAATCACGAGCGCAAACTTGAAAAAGCCACCCAAAAAGAGGAAAAAAAGAGAGAGAGAGAGAGACGAGCTCGATCTGATGCACTGATTTCGAGGTATATATGCTGTGCTTTACCTCTTTGGCCGTACCTACGGAACCCTACTTTTTGTGCGGAAAATTGGGTCCCAGCCAAAACCCATTCCACGAGTTTTGTAAGCGCGGCGGCAAGGCTTAGAAACTTTTACCCATTCTCCACGGGGGCTCGTGCGACAGGAATATTGGAGACGCGGTGCGAAATTGTGGATAGCTGGCTACCTTTTATTTCGGCGTATCCTGGTTAAAGACTCTTCAGACGCTCACTTTTTTCGTCCCCACTGCTAGTTTTTGTCCCTTTCCTGGCACGTTTGTTGCCTTCCAATGTACTCTCGAATCTATTTTTGGCATCGTCTGACGAGCCATCAATTTCCATTATGCCTTTTATACATAAAAAAAACTTTTTTACTTGAATCTAAAAATTAAAATACATTTACTAAAGACCAAAACTTCAAAGCTTCACAACTTCCTTCCTAAAGTTTTGATTAAGCTTCGAGTGTTTCGTTAAATAACTTTAAATTCGTTGGAGTCGGCAGATGATATTTACAGAATTTACCGAGCCTAACGTTTACCCTCTTTGCAATAAAATGCACAAGATTAAAGTCTCTCGAATTGAAGAGTACCATTGTCATTAAAAACTCTTACAAAGTCCAAGAGCGAGTTTGAGGTCCAATATTTTTTCAATTTTTTTTACATCTCCAATCGACAGCCTGTCATCGCTGAGTCAAAACAAAAAAGGACGAAACCACAAATTCATCAACGCCCAATACACAGATTAAAATCGAGCGAGGTGCATACCTTTCTATTGCGTCCTCCCGTCATGTCCATCGAAATCCAGTTGAAAACCGGTTTCGCAACACGACACTCCCATGACATGTAAAAAATTATTTGTCCATCATCCCCTTCCTGTAGAGACGTGCTCCGTAAGCTCGACTCCACGAGCTTTTGGAGAAACAAAGCAAAATCAAGCAGAGCAGCTTATCTCCCGAGAAAGTTCAGCTTGGCAGCTCTGTAAACTCCACCAGATCGTGCGTCACTTATGTAAACTCGAAGGAGAACCAAGAGTATGGGGCTATTGAAGGCGTTGGAGTCTAACAAAGGAAGTGTCGAACCCTCAAGATACCGATCGCCTACGCTAACTTCGAGACAGCTGGGCAGGTATTATTTACTCGTCAACCGGTTACTTTGTTGCGCAAGCTCTTACACTCGGTAGCCCATTCGTCAACTAGGAAGATGCTACTGATGAAGATTATAACTTTAAGGTCCTTGAGTATCTCTTATGATTACAGAAATGAATGAATTTTATTTGTGTTGTTTGGGAATTGTATCAAGGATTATGAAAAGAAATATCGGTTTACTATAATAACGTAGTATTCTCATAGTACTCAAAAGCGTCAAAAACACTCACCAGTGCGTCTTTCAGCATCGCGAAACGTCACCTCGCTGAGCACGATCGGCTGACTCCGGCCCTTGGCGTTGATGGCGTACACGACGACATGTGTGCCCGCGTCCACGGACGCCTTGAGTCCCGAGAGCTCGAAAAACGGCTCCTCCTTAGCTGTGACGTTGTATAATGACCTTAGGCTCGCCAGCGAGTCGAGGTCCCCGTGGTACACCTCGAGGACAAACTCCTGCGGCAGACCACCATCGTAGCCCGCTATGCATCTAACTTCCACGCTCGTGTAAGTTTGGTTCGCCAGACTGCAGTTGCGCACCGGAAATGGCTTGCCTGTAAGTATGGAGACACAACCAAAACTTTGGTAATTGCGATTTTTATCATTTCTTTCTTACGACTTTCGAAAAGCAACGCTGACCAAAGGTTCAAAAGGTATTCGCTCTACTGATTGCGTTCACGCCCAGTTAATATTTTCTTTTTCATTTTTCTCTCTTTCATTCAAACCAAGCTACCTGTACATATACCCGCTCCACCTGGTAAACCCTCGTTTTTCCCCTTGGTCGAGTATCGGCGAAACAAAGTGGATTTCCAGGGGTTATGGAAGTTAAAAGCCCGCGAACTGTTCTCTTGTTAATTAAAGAAGTTTTCAATGAACTCCCCCCCTCACATCCCCTTTTTTAAATTAATTTACTTTGGTCTGTACTCGCCAAAGTGATTGACTCCAACGTACGTGTGCAACGAGTTGCCACGATGGATGGGACTTCATTACGTTCGAATTACATGCGATCGGTTGGTCAATCGCAAAGTATTTGTTTGCTAATTTTCCAACTGCTTTTTTAAACTCATTTCCGTCCAAGAATTTTCGTACGGCTTCCCACTCTCGAGGCGAAATTCTACATCGAGTCATATGTATATTATTCTAACGAGAATCAACGCGTCCTGTACAAACCCGTGGCAACACGTACACGCATACACAGCACAGGGAAAGACACGGAGCGCCTCGAGGGACGGAATACAAGCTCGTCGTCGTAACGCAGTTACCGAATCAATATTCGCACCGGTGCTCGTACCTCCATGTAAGGGTATGGGTCTAGTGTGCTATAGAGGGACTCGTGTACTTTGCTCATTGATATCGTACACGCGAGAGCTCAAACTGTGAGCGAAAGAGGTGAAAATGATGACTCGGCTGTACACGAGTATTATGCGCATTAGCGGGAGTACGTTACACGCTCTCGGCTGAGCGCATCCGTATACGTATATGTATGTTGCTTTTCATCCTGCGTCTGCGAGACGTCAGCCGAGCTCCATTTCGCGCACCTACCCTCCGTATATAGTCCGCATTTTCATATCATCCGTTTTTCCCCCGCTGTACTCTTGCTCGTACTCGACGAAGCGCAAGACGAAAATTCCGATGGATTGCGGCACAACGAGTGGTACGAGCGATAACAATAACGAAAGGTTGGAAAATAATTTCGCCACGTTGATAGCAGGGAGTAGCGAAAAAGAGAACACGCGGAAAGAGGAAAGGCAACAAAAAAAAAAAAAAAAAAAAGTGGAGATTGACGTAAGTCGGTGCAAGTATAATAAAAGAGTTGACGATTACTCGGAGTGTGTATAGCGTTGTATACTTATAAATACTCTCGGCTCAGGTCAGGCAAAAGACAGGAGCAGTGGCGACCGGANGATAGCAGGGAGTAGCGAAAAAGAGAACACGCGGAAAGAGGAAAAAAAAAAAAAAAAAAAAAAAAGGGTAAAAAAAAAAAGAAAACAAAAAAAAAAAAAAAAAAATGTAAAGGGGGAGTTCTCGTTTCTGTTTTTCACCGTGAAAAGTCCTGTTAAATTGGTATTCGCGGGAAAACGAATAAACGCCGCGAGAGTGCAAATGGAAAATAAGTAAAAAGACGATGACGTCGGGGCTGTGGCCCGGGCGGCGTATGATGAAAAAAGGGGGAGGACGAGGAGGAAAAAACGAGCAAACGGACGTCGGATGCATCGGTAGGGCTGCCGATGTGATGCGCGAAAAATCTGCATTGTCCATCTGCGTCATGTGTATATATGTGCACGGTGCAGTTGGAGGAACGAGTGAGCGCCCTTTTTTTCCCGATGGACGTTGTGTGTTGCTGGAAAATAGTTGGGGTAATTTTTTTTTATTTCGTTCGGCTGGATCTCTCGATGTTTGACGTTACACGGTGGAAATCTCTTCCAACATCCACGCCGCGATGAAAAATTTTGTGTCGACGGCTCGTCAAAATACAGGGAAAGTTGGTTACTCGGGGCTGGGAAAATCATAGTTTCACAAAAACATTCTTTGGAGACGTGCGTGAAAGATCCCTTCAGCTATTTTCGACTACATTCCCGAATAGACCGCTGTTCGTGTAACAAACACTAAACTTCGAGCTCGTGTGAAAAAACAGACCAAAGTGCAACATCTCGTGGACAAAAATCAGACCGAAATGGATAAGCTCGAAAACAAGCACCGGAAACAAAGGGGATACTGAAATGGGTTGTGTCGAACAAGAAAGGGAGAGACGGACGAAGCTTTTTCGTTCCGGAAGAGCGGCCATCGACGCCAGGGGCGGAAAAGTGGGGATCATATAACGCCGCCGGTGGTGCGGCTAGTCGCGTCAACGTCGATCCATTGGAGACGCCCGGCGCCCGCAGCCTGTCACCACACGATTGACCGATCCCCCGTTTTTTCTCCGATGTAGGGCTGCTCCGACGTCTCTACCTCTCTCGGGCGTTTATCTGTTTTTTTTTTTTTTCGGCCGATCTGCCCACGGGCCTTTTGCAGCTTATCGATTTCGACACCTTTGCGTCCTACGGTAGGGATTTTGGCGGCGCTTTTGTTGGTGCGGCTGAAGGCGATGTTTATTTGTAATTTAAATCGACGAAATAGAGGAGTGGGGGGTGGCAGGGCAAAGATTGTTTGCGAGATGCAGCGACCCAGTTTGCGTTATTGTGCGCTTGATTGCCGATAATGCAAAATCACGTCTGGTCGATACGTGTATTTGAAGAATCGTCAAGACCGTACTAGTGAACGGCGGTTTACTTTTATTTTGTAATGGAATATTCATCGGAGCTTGAAGTAGAAATTATTCGAGTGAGACGGGCAGTATTGTTTTTCTGCGTTTCCGCCGAGAAACCATTAGAGGGAAGAAGCAAAGGAAACTTAATGTATGGATGCAGAGAAAAAAAAACCGTCGCGGAATAGATTTACCGGAGCTTGTATTTTTATTCCTTGGTGTTTATACGCTCATTGTCTGCTGCTACGGGAAGGACAAAAGGATAACATGCTAAGTGCGGTGGTATAGGGACGGGAAAATCTTTTTTACATTATGATAATCCGTGGTGCAGCAAAAACTAAGTTAATATGGTAGGAGAAGGGCGAGCTAACGACCGAAGGCGTGCCCGTAAATTTGCACATGTTTGGCGTGCTTTTTAAGGAGTCTTTAGTGATTTATGTATAATAGAGACATCGGTGATATGCAATTCGTTGTACCGTTCATGGAACGGAGCTGTGGTAGAGGTGACGGCATAATCTTTCAAGGGAAGCTTTTCACGGCTCATTTCGACCCAATAGTCGACGACTTTTCATTTACTCGAGTCTCGATTTGCCTCGGCACGCATTTTATCTCGATTTCAGAGAGGAGACCGTAGCGAGGGGGGATGAAATTCAATTTTACCACGAGAAACAAAGATAATGCAACCAAAGGAGATTTCTTTGCGGCTTTTTGTTTGACTTGCTTTGACTGGATGTGGGGGCACTGCGAGTACGAGCTTTGCTTTGACAATGGTTAAGATACTTTTTTCTCGAAATTATTACGTATTGCACGGTAAGAATTTATCATCAAAATGTTTCCGTAAAGATTATAATAATGTTTAAAAAAAAACAAGCGTATTTCCTTGCTTTCCGTCAACATCAAAAGTATATTTTAAAATAAAGTAAGGTATTTTGGCCCTTTTTACCTTTCTTCGTAGCGGCAAATTGAGCAAATTGGTGTAGACTCAGTGGGACGGTGGATGAAAGACGAATTTAAAAAAAGTGGCTAACCTGCAGCGACGAGCTGAAAAAGGCAGGGCCTGGACTGGGTGCCAACGAGATTGTCCGCCCAGCAGGAGAGCGTGCCGTAGTCCAGTTCCGTGGATGGCTCGTAGGTGAGCACGCTGAGGCCGTCGTTCGGGTCGATGGAGAATAGCTTGGCCGGTAGTTCGAGGGTCTCGCCGCTGTTGTTGAACTTCCAGCGAAAGCTGTGAGCCGGTGGGTCGGCCTCTACGCGGCAGGATATCTCCAAGGACTCGCCCCTCGAGGCCCCCACCACCATGATCTTGTCCTCCTTGCAGATCGGCGCGTCTGTAATGGATCAAATATTTTAGAGTTTTGTACGCAGTGAAGTTGTTTTCTTGGTTTTAGAGTCTAAACTGATACTTTTTCAGCTGTGGATGTTCATTTTTGTTTTTTAACCAATTAATAATGGGTCAATGGTTTATCGAGTTACCAATAATAAAATAATTTGATTTTTTGTCAACTGTGGCATGATTCAAAACGAATGAATAAGCGTATTTATCGACGAGAAGAAACTATTAAAATGTACGAATGAGTATATCGAGTTCAGATCTATATTTATTAACCTCGTAGTGGTACTTAATCTTAGTTTCTAATTTATTAAATAACCATGCAAATTACAGTTTGCATCTCAGATGTTTTCTTCTCAGTTGATGTATTCAGCAGCTTCGACTCCAAGATACCGATTGACTTATATTGTTTACAAAACCAATTTTGATACTTGTAAGTTATTCCTTATTTTTCAAGTAAATAATTATTAAATACGTAGTTAATCACTATGATCAAATAAATATAACATTTAAAACAGCCTACAGCTGTTCTACTAAGTAGTAATATCGCAGTATGGTCAGACATGTCTGTTTACGTCTTTTGAAGGCATAATTTGAGAAACACTCGGTAAGTAATGCAAAGTTAAACTCATTTACATAAAAATTCAATAAGCCAGGAATGTATAAAAACATTAAATATTCCATCTGAAAAAAAATGTCGTTGTAACTACATACAGGTGACATCTCCGATATTAAAAATAATTTCTCGGCTGTGTGGGCATGGTAGAAAATACGTCATGAAAAACAACAAATGGTGGCTACGTATTTCTCCAGAGCGTAGCGATTATTTGCATTTTTTTCTTTGTTCTCGCAATGCGAATCGTCCTACTTTTTTCCTTTCCTCCTCGTGTAAGTTTATTGGGGGGCAGGTGTTATCCCGTCACGGTCTGCAACGCAAGTAGAGAGAAAATAAGCCGTATTTAGCAGATGCTGTTTCGAAAAATTCTGTGAGAACAAAATAAAAGGAGGGGAGGAATACTTTTTTTTACATGTGCGTCGGGGGTACAAAACGAAATTATGTGCTTGCAAAATTAATTCGAACAGATGTGTGTCGTGGAACGTTTTTTATGCTCCTTTTCTTTCTTCTCGCTGCCCTTCATAACTCTATTTTTTTAGCACTGACGCTGCATCGTGCACTGCTGCTTTTTTACAACCAAATTAAGAGCAGATTTTGAATTCTCTCTTTTGGTCAATGAGTATTGCACTTGAAGTTCTTTTTTACTATTTCTCTTGACCGCTGCTAGATAGTATGTTTTCGTACTTTGTAAAACTGCGTCTACTACTTGTTTTCCTCAACGAGATTGTTTCTATCTTTTTTTTTTTCAGATGTACGCAACTTTGTATCGACATTGTATGCTAAAATAATAACGTAATCACACGTAGACTACCACACGCTGATTACACGCCAAGATGACCAAACAAGCACCAGCCCTGAGATTCAGTCAGCCGATAATTAGAGCATTACACACCAAAGCTCTGATCCAGCGTGCTAGAAAGAGAGACAAAGATCAACAGATAGTCCAGCTTCTTAGTCTCGTTTGGCTAATGAAACTTTGAGCTGTGAGCTGTAAAACCGAGCTTTGCTATCCTCCGTTGCAGAAAACAGCCAGTCGAAAGGCTGATCGCGGATCGCTAATGATACCTGCAGATCCTCCGTTGCACGCCAAAGAGGATTAAACCTTCCTCGCTGCAGCCTGATGCTCTAAACTTTGCTTGCAAAGATTCCTCTTTTTCCCACTGCTTCTGCTTGGCTGTGATCAACGATGAAAAGTCTTTGCACGATGCAGCAGTAACATATCCATCAAAAAAATTCTCCCAAACAATTTTTTTTAAATCGATAAATGCTCGAGGCAAAAGATGCTTTTCACCTCATGTTTTCAAAAATTAAATTCTTCAAGCTCAATTGGCAATAAAATAGCATCACGATACTTCGAAAGCATCCAATACGAGACGTTTGTTTTTTGCTCTTGGTACCATACATACACATAACGGGTGCGAGAGGCCATTGCCGAGAGACCAACTGGCGAGCATTGGAAGTTATGACGGCACTCCGGCACGCCTGCTGGCCGCGTCGCAAGCTCGACCTCGATAAGATTCCTCGGGTCGTTCGTTCGCTCTCTCGCCTAGTGCAGCGGACAATGACGGGGAGACAAAGATGAAGAGCTTGACCAACGGCGTCTTCTCTGTTCCTACACCTCCTTTCCTCCGTAGCGGGGGCTTTGGAGGCGAAACACGAGCCGACGTCGCCTGTGTCGTTTCATACAATGAAAGCCAGCGCGATAAAAAGGAAGGGTAGGAGGTGGGCCACGACTTTCCAAGCACGCTCGTGCATTTTGTCAGCCAGTGACTTTTATAAGCTCCGCCGGCGTCGCGAATCGTTCGCTCGCTCCTTCGACTCGAGTTATGTAAACGGTCCGCAGTAGGAGGGAATGAGCGCCGGTCCCTCTTCCTGGGAGATCGCAAATTACGAGAGAGACCTGGGTAGCTGAGACGTGGAGAGAACGCGAAGCGGAGAGTTTTATGAATTAAGCCGATGAAGGAGTTAGTCGAGATAACTGAAGAATCGTTACTTGAGTATTTTAACGTAATCTTTGTCACTTGGAGAAATAGTCAGGTGTGGGAATGAAACTTTGGTGTATGTTTCCTCGTGATAGAATAGGAAAAAGGCCTTAGTACTAGAGTCTGACGCACTTCAATGATCTCTTAGAACTTGTAACTTAAGCTGCATTAAGTTATATATTATTACAATCAACTGTAAATGAAAGCTGAAATGAAACCATAAGAGTTGAAATAAATTTTTTTTTACGATTTGAAACTTCCCTTTGAAAGTTATTTGGGTTTGAAGTCGGGAGTTGAAAGCAAGGTAAAAGTACGTTTGCATTTATAGATGTATACATATTTTTATTTTATTTCTATAATTTCTACCACTGTAACATTTGCACGATAACTTGAAAGTACAATTTTTTTACACTTTAAGTAGTAATGGCTAGTCTGCGGTCAGACGAATTTTTTTACCGAAAATTTGGAATTATATTTTTCCATTTTGGTTAGATTCGATTGATATGGTAATATGATAAGATGTACACGTTTTTTGCATTTACGTTTTCAGTACAACCCAACATTAAAATAGGAACAAATATTAAGTAGTCAATATGAATATTTAGTCAGACACTCACGTTTTTTCTCACTTTTTTCTGTTAAAATCTCAGTATGATGTTTTGTGTGTGGATTTGGTAAAACTTTCGGAAAAAATAAATCTGCACACGGTTGTTGTTTTATTTATTCGTCAATAATTGATCTTTATTCAAACGAGTACCTCGTTCGGTTTTGAACAGGGGGACTTCGTGACTCTTACTTACAAAACTCATAATAAGTCAGTTAAGGAGTTACAGTTAAGTAGTCATTACCAATGAATGGTCAGACACGTACATTTATCTTAGATTCATTTGATTTAATATTTTCACGACATTAACGGTGCGGATTTAATTTAACATAATCCAAAGAGAATATTTAAGTAGTTATCATCAATGTATGGTCAGACATTTAAAAAAAACTTTCTTTCATAACATTAAGTAAATAATTTAAAAAAAGACAATCGAGTAATTACTATCAATGTGCTGTCAGGCGTACATAATTTTTATATCATTTACAGTTAAATCTCGATTTTGAAGATCAAAATCTATCAATATTACATCAGATACATACTTTTTTTCGTATCACCCCTAACTAATGATACTTTAAATACTACAATGAGATCTATGTGAACTCAAAAGTAGTAGGAGATGAAGGGATTTGAGTAGTCATGATTAATGTATGTTCAGACTTTTTTTGCACTTGCTTTTACTCAAACAAATCAAGATTATTATAGACCCAGAAGCTAGAACAAAAGTATTCCTTAGCGCGATAGCATTATCGACGAAGCTAGACGGATTCCTCACTCTTCTCTAAGTTACCCCGTTACGAGTAAAGTGTCGTCGTGCACACGCTTCCCTTGCTCTTCTACATGTCTGCACTTTCGCTTCTCGTCGCCGCATAAGTTTGCATACGAAATTCGCCAACACGTGCAATCACCTCTGAAACCCTTCCTCTTTCCATCCTACACGTATATGTACGTATGCGTGCGTACGTACATATGGAGGTGATAGAATTGCGCCGATCGCAAAATGAGATTTGCTTTGTTTGACACGATCGCGGCTCACAATAAAAAATGTACGTTCTTTCCTTCTCTTATCTTTTCTTACTTGCGGTCTTTTCGTACCTTTTCGCGAAAGGAGGATATCACCATCGGATTTTCCACGGGATTTCTCTCGCCTCTCTCCACCTTGTTCTTTTTCACCGGCAGGATATTTTTCCTCCGAGAGAGACATTCTACGCGTGTATGTATGAGAAAACGAAAGTTACATATCATAAGCGGAAATTGGATATCAAAAATGTATAGCGAGTTAAGTACGGTGGAAATATTTATAAGTTTCGAGATTTCCAGTATGAGAGCGGGTGTTTGCTGGGCCAAAAAAACAGATACATTCTTGCAGAGTGTAGTATGTACGTGGAAGGAAAAAGGAGGCGAGCTTGGACTCGTTAACAAAAACCACGGACAGCTCAGCTATCTTATTTTCTCTACTAGCAGTTCGATGCTTCGCTGTACATTTATTTGCTTGTGCACGCTCGCCGTGCTTTTTTTTAATACAAAACTTTTGGGAATGGAAAATAAATGCCAACGCGTTCATTTAATTGTACGTTACGCCACTAGGGTGGAGAATGCTATTTGGCGGCCACGGGCCCACTTTCATCCTGCCAATGAGGGGGGGTGGCAGGCTACAAAACCTGTGGTAGGGGTATTGGGGGCAGATCCCTAATGGGGAATTGGTGGGGCTTAAAAAACTGACTGATCGTTCGTTAAATTAAATTTTTACAAACTTTTTACAACTATTTTGCGAACAAAAAAAAAATAAACTAGATGGAATGAGAGTATTAGTATAAAAAAAAAAAATTACCACCACAGAGTAACATTACGATTGGCTCTGTTCTCTTAATAAAAGGTCACCTACCAGCACTAACTTGTTCAACTCGTTAAAAAAAATTTTTTTTTACTTGTTGACATTCACTGCGCCCTCGGTAAATAAAGCTCGCATCTGGGGCGTGTTTTTATTTAAATGTCTTTCCGAAGCATTGTATTAGTCCTCCAGAGTTATTTGATGTCAACAAAAATCCGATGAAATCTGTTTAGTTTTGTTTACTTAATTATAGACATATTAATAACTTGGGCATCAGCCACAACTATGAATTAGTCCCACATGTGGCTAGAGTTGCAAAAAATAAGTACAAATGAATCACACAAGTGTGGTGGCATGGCACGTAACGGTGGGTAGGAAATAGGTACTTTCCACACTGTAATCACATTTTCCCATTAAATAATCTCTGAAGTAGTCTGATGACTTTGAAATATTTATCAAGTCCATACTTTCTCTGAATTCTGGAATATTCAGTCTCCAAATCACCTACAGTAATCATTAAGGTATGAAAGTTTTGGTACTTCGGTGGTACTTGGTTCATGTTTTAGAATTTATAAAGTATAATTGGAATGTAGTGTAAGGGATAGCTATCGATATTTCCAATGAAACAGTATTCAATACAGAAAAAAAAAATTTTTATCAAAAATTAAGAAAGTTAGAAATAAAATTGTAAAACAACCTTTTATTTTCTTCTTGTTAAGTTCCAATCAGTAGAGTAAAAAAAGTTTATAATTAAAAAAGTTGTATGCATCATAAATAGACATCTGATGTACATACAATAAAACAAAGTGGGTAGTTGTACCACAGGTTAATATGAATTTTTTCAATTCTAATTTACTTACATTTAACGCGAAATTCAAGCGGTTTGCTCCGAGTTTCCTGGATGTCATTGGTTGCCGCGCAAACGTACAGGCCCGCGCTGCTTCTGGTTACGCTTTGAAGCACGAGACTTTGATTAGACCGAATGATCCTGGCGGACGTGTTGTGCGTCAGAACCACTCCCTGAAATTAAAAAGCCAGACGTTTCGGATGTACATTTATTATTTTAAATTTACCAACTAGTGCAAGATTTATAAATTCAATATAACATATTAAAGCCACTTTGACTGATGCAATTTAGTAAAGCTTAGGTACATTAATTTAAATATGAAAAGGGGAGTATAAAATATAGATTAGATGAAAATTGAAATTTCAATTCATTAAGAGTATCTTATGAACAGGATTTTGTAAGAATATCTGAGAAAAAGTAATTAATTTGATCAAACGATGATTAAAAGCAACTGATGGCCGATGGTCGTAGATCCGATACTCTCGAGCTATTACTCAGCAAAACGTTGAAATCTTTTTATACCCTCTTTCTTCCCCTCTTCCCAAGAGTAAAACTGATGGACTGAAAAAAGGACGTCCACGAATGCAAAATAATTATTCAATAGTCAGAAACAGGAGCCCCCATATCGAGAACTCGACGCAACCAGTCACTGGGGACAGAGAGAGGGAGAAGGGAAAATTCGAGCCCTTGTGCATCCCTCCGCGATATTGCAATTTTCAATAAAAGAATTTTTTCGTTTGGAGCTTCTCTCATCTCCTGGCTCGTGCGCGCTTGAATTATTTGCTGGCGATCGAAGTGGAAAACTCGTGCTACGGTCCAACGTTGCTAACACGCCATAGGCTGCTATTGCGTCTGGTCACTCTCGTTCTGCACCCGTACGTGTCTAAAATACAGATACATAAGTTGGTGCTCCTCTTGGATAAGAGTCATAGCGTAGAGTGTGTAGTGCATGGCTGGTGCTTGGCTTTTAATACTAATGGGATGATCGATCTTAAAATCTGTTAACTTGCAGCCTCCAACTAAGCGAAAGTCTTACTTGTTCTACTGTATACGCTGGAACAATGTAGATGTATTTATGTAGATTTCCAGACGGAGGAGAGGAAGGATGTATTCAGGGATGGGGGAATCCTAGTCTACATTCGATGAACAGTGTAAGGTCTCCCGCGTGCCAATAACTTTTGAAGGATTGCCCGTTTACGAGTATATATGGACGAGAGGGAGGCTTTGCAGGTCAGATGGGATTGGACTAGCGAGAAATCGCAGTAGAGATACGAAAAAGTGGCTACAATTATATACGTTTTTTCGTTCCCTTTTTGTTTGACAATCTCTTTTCATTGGATACATCCACCCAATCGCAAAGCGTGGTCTAGTTATCAGTACTTCTCCCTTCCTCTTACTCTCACTTCTCTCATAGCCACTTCCCTTTAGATTGACCCTCGAAACTGCTATTTTCCGCCCTCCGGTGATTTTGAGAGGCTGGTACTTCCTCGGGCGAAAAAGCAGTTTTCCGGAACTTGTTCGAAAAGTCTCCTTTACGAACCTCGTTACGTCCCTCGCCTTCGGCTCGGGCCGCAAACCTCTCGGTTCGCAAACAGAGACTTTTCAAACTCGTAGGAAAACTACTATTTTTTTTCCTTTATAGTACAGGGCTGTGAAATCTTTTTCTGTCGATTCAATGAAATCTGCCTGCTGATGCGCAAAGACAATCGGGAATCGATTTGAAACGAGACCGTTTGAATCCAACCCCCCCCCCCCTTTCTCACACTTGTTTTCCGTTCCTGTCTCCAGCCATTTTGCCTCTCTAGTACGTGGCTTACGAGCTTCGAAAGAAAAACACGGATCGTACAAAAAGAGGAAAATAACAGGGATGATAAAGCAGAAGCTTGTATGCTTGCTAGAGCCACGGAAAAAAATGCAGTGGAGCAGTTGGCTCGTTCTGAAAATATAGCTTCCGTCAGAGACTGATTCCGTTCAATTGTATTGTAACGGGGGGGAGGTTTGCTTCTACGATCGCGACAAAGATAATGAAAATATACGAGCAAGCTTGGGGTGCAGAGGTCTGTAGTATTTTACTCGTTACACCGGTAGGGTAGTATTTTCGTTGTTCTCTTGTGATTTACACTTTTTCTGAATTTTTGAAGAAACTAAAAAAAAAATCAATAAGGAATTAGCATGTGAATTTCATACGAACTAATTCACAGTTCTTTGCCTTAGTTTTTTAAGAAAAAAAGAATGTTACGACATGTCGTGCACGCGTTTTTAATTAAATCGGATTGTAAAACCACTTTTCTGACAAATTGAAAATCCTACATTTATGTCATTTCAAGCCACAAAAAGGTAAGCAAAGAATACATTCCCTTATCTATTCACCAGCTGCTTTTAGTTAGCTTATAGTGGTATAATAACAAAAAAAAAGTCAGCATTTGAAAGAGAAGATTACGTTCCCCACCGAGCTTTCTTTCCAAGAGCCAAGAGCAGCGAAGGCGCTGAGGAAAAAAAGTTCGTTACAGCCTCCTTCTTTGTGATGAACACGAGATTTTCTTTTCAGCATCTCTTTTTGTTCCCCAAAAAATACATGACTTCAAGCGCTGCAAAGCCCTGTGGTACCGTGGCAGCTAGCAACCTTCTGGCCTCCTCTCCTTTTTTTTTTTTTTTTTTTTTCTCTTCTGCAAGAATATCGCGATCGTGGTTCGTTGAGATGTGCAAAAGTGGAGGCTTAATCTCTCCTTTTTTCTGCACAAAGGTAGGGATTTTTTTTTTCTGAGGTAACAATCCCAAAGCTGCTTCTGTCTATCTCACATACGATCGGGGGTGGATTCATTTGCTTGTGGTGTGGGGGTACGTGCGTGAGCTCTTGGGATATTAAGAGGCTTTGCTGTGGTGTTGCATATATTTTAGAAAGTAAAAGCTTTTTTTTCAGCTTTGAAGTACGACCAAGTCAAAGAGATGCATTGCGCCAAAAGGTTGCGGATTACGAGTCAAATTCGTTTGATATCCCTTGTTTTACTTTTTGTTTGCAGAATAATAACGTGAACTTTTGAAACGACAATTTTTTTCTCTATGAAATATATTTTTTTCTAGTGTTGCTGGTGCAATAGACTACGTTGTATTTGCATAATATATACATTACGGACATTAAATACTTAAAAAACTAAGTACTAATGTATTCCATCTTCGACTGTTGTTTACGAGATGGGTAGTTTTAAAATTCTTGTTTTATATTAATATTATTATTCATTTACTCTACTTTTACGCGCTGTGGAATACATTAAACACAGCAGCATACGACTCGTTCTAGGTCAAGTTATATTCCATAATATTTTTTTCTCAGAACAACCGTCAAAAAAAGTACCAAATCCATTAGTAAATTCGTAATGAGCTAGCAAAGCTCGGTTCATTTCCAAGAAAGAAAAGTCAAGAAACGCCTTCCTCAAGGACTGCACGTGAAAACAAATTGTCGCGGTGGGATGCAATTTCCGTGAAATAATTTCACCACAATCTCATGGGTCGGCGGGAGAGTGCAAATTCTTCGCGACGCGGGTGCCAGCTGGAATAATGCAATCCAAGAAGGAGAGTACAGGCCAAGAAAAACGTTTGGTACGAGTGGAAAGAGCGGAGACCTCGAATAAGGAAGCAGAGTTGGTCCAGCGTAAGCTCGGTTTCACCTCCCGTAGGCTGGCCCCAGCTCTCTCTATTAACGAGACTAAGTTGATTAAACTAGATTGTAATCTGCGTAGCCGGCAGTGCGGTTGGAGTATCGGAGATAACTGCGAGGCGATTTAGCGGAGCGCTTAGCGTAGGCCGCGTCTTGGTTAAATCCTGGGGTTTACCTTCAATTATTTCCCTGTGGCAGGGAAGACAGAAAGAGCCACGGGTATCAAGAGGGCCCGGGTTGCCCTTTGCGGTTGTCGTAGCGGCCAACGCTTTGTCCCACCTTCCTCTGTCTCTTCCCGCTAATGTTTAACCGCGACTGACTCCAAATAGAGGAGCTATGTCTTTTGACTTTGATGCGACGCCCTTTGGCTGCACAAAGGACGAAAATTCCTACTAGTTGGACTGGTGAGTCGGCAAATTCTGAGTATGCGATCGAATGGATCCCTATTCTCTGAGTTCCTTCAGGACCAAAGGACATTGCAAAAGTGGTAAATTCATTTATTTGTCTGGACTCGGTGTACATTCAATCAATTGTGGTTGTGTAACTTTTTGTTCAACCGAAATCTCAGAACGGGGGGTAAGAGAGAGTATCTGTAATTAATAGAAGGAGCAGGAGGAGGCAGAGTCAGAAAAGTCTAATGAAACTAAATTACGCTCGGCCATGTATCCTCAGACTCCCAATATCGCGTAAGCCTTTAATAACCATTGCCCGTTATTAAATTATCCGTTTATCATCGAAGCTCTGATTAATCTCGAGCTAGGAAGATTAAAAGCTCCCTCGGCTCGTCTCTAGTCGCCGAGGGCTGCTACATTAATTGCTGGATTCTCAAGGACCAGAGACAAGATGGCTCTGACACTGTTCGAGATTACGTGCGGCGACGAATTCTTGAAATATTTTTTTTTTTTAGTTAAAGGAGAAAAGAAGGAGGGTTCTTCTTTTCTTTCGTAAGATGGAAGTCAGGCAGTCTTAGTCATTGAAAAATTGACGAGATGGACCACTACCATTCCCAATAGCCCAGCTTCTCTATTTTCTCTTAGTATTTATTTTTTTTTTTTTTTCTCTTTTTGTTCCTTCGTAGTCACCTTACCTTGTCCAATCTAGTCTTCCACCTGCTGCGCGCGACTGTGCTTCACCAGCCGGAAAATTCGCCACGCGTCGCAGTTTCTCTCTTTTATCGTTGTCTTTTCCGTTTCCCATTTTTCCCGTAGCCTCGTGCTTGTTTGCCCGTCGCCTTGCACGCGAAGGTAACCACGCACATGGGTATAGGTCATCTTGTTCTGTGCAGCGAGGCGCGAGAACCCTTGGCTCGAGATTTTCCGCGTTGAGTTGCACGCCTCAAAGTTTTCGATGTGTCCCGGGAGCTTGTTGGGCCACACCTCTAGCTCTCCCCAGGATAAACATTGCCCACCGACCGACTTTGCTTTGTTTCGTATTTACGCTGATAGTGGCAACGATTTACTCATATGCATCTCGTTCTTTTCTTCCTATCTTGGTCGTTTTTGCACTCTTGTTTTTATG